TTTTTGTATGTTTGTAACGAATAAACTCAAAAATTACTGGACCGATTTAAATGAAATTTAGTAAGAAGATAAATTTATGACCCTGGGAAGGACATAGGATATTTTTTTATTCCGGAAATCATATCTTAAAATGATGAAAATGGGGATGAAAGTTTGTATGGGGAATCAACCTAGGGAACCCGAGCGAAGCTAGGGTCAGTCGCTAGTATTATATATTACAAGAATTACTCATTTCTTTTCATCTTCAAGTCGAATCTGTACATTAAATATTTTTTGAAAAATCTAATTGAAATAGACTTTATTATCGATACAGAGTCCAAATCTATAGTTTTTAGAATTTTTGTCTGTCTGTCAGTCTGTCTGTTTGTCTGTATGTTACCGCATCACGAGAAAACCACTGGACAGATTTTGATGAAATTTGGTATAAAGAGAGCTGGTTATCCGGGTCAACATATAGGATACTTTTTACCGCGGGAAAATATCTCATTTCTGAGAAATAATATAAAAACTGCGTTGTAAGAGTATACTAATATGTAAAACCCAAGAATTTGGTTTTTGATAATCTGAACGCGGGCGGAGCCGCGGGCAATGCTAGTATTTCTATATATTACAAGAATTACTCATTTAATATTATCTATACATAGATAAATCATTAAAACACTGCACTTTTGGTTTAACGTGTCTTGAAGCTTAAACTGTAGAAGGTCGACAAGTAAACTATCAGGATCCAGAGGCCGAACTAACAGGTCCTTAGTGTTTCGTAACATTGCACAATGCACTCCATTTTGCTCTCCATTTACCTACTATTTCTTTATTTATATTACGTAAGTCCGTGTCTTTTGTTTGTGTTTGTTTTGAATCTATTGTAGAACAATCGTTATTTGTAAATTGTCCAATTATTATCTAACGGACGAACATAAGACTTAATAATATAAAAAAATGTTAAACAGTACATAATTTCCTAGTTTTGTGGAAAAAAACGATTTAAAAAATCTTGAAACCTCTACTAATTAAAATGATAAAAATATAATTAACCTAAAATAAAGAAATCTTAATCTTTTTAATATAACAAAATCCTGATAAAAAATAGCTAAGTATCTAGTATCTAACAAAGCCATAGGCATGCGTACTATTTTTCTTTGAAATGTTTTATTTGAATTGGTTCATAAAAAAAAAGTTATGTCAAATTAAAGATTCATCTAGGGAAAAACCCGAGCGAAGTGGGGGGAGTGGAATCGAATATATATAGACTGAAAAGATATTAGCCACAAACTGCCTATCATCCTGTGTGATGTAATCTTAGTAGGTACGTATCCGGAGGATTTTGTAATCACGACATCGTTACTCGTAAGGTATACTAGCCAACAACTATAAAATTGCCAGACTGACCTTTCTCGTGATCTCGCTAAATAAGAACACTATCATTTGACTGGTTTACATCTGTATGATGTGTGTTTAGAAAGACATTTGCTATAAAATTTTAACAACATACATGATATAAGGTAATAGACTTAAATTACGAGAACCAATTATTTTATTGGGAATAGAAGTCTATGTTAAGTGCATAAAGTATAAAGTTTATTCATGCAAAACGCACTTTAACATTTTTAAAACATTAATAATGACTATTTAATTAATGTTAGTATTTGACATTTTATCTATACAGTTAAAAAAAATAAAGTGTCTGTTTGTAATGTCAAAATAACAGCTTTTTACTTAGTGCATATAAAAGTATAAACGGTACATATACGAAAAAAAAACAATATTTAAAAATTTTGTGTCTGTCTGTTTGTTCCGGCTTATCTCCGAAACGACTGGATCGATTTTGATGGGACTTTCACTGGCAGATAGCTGATGTTATAAGGAGTAACTTACTTTTAGTTCAGAAAAAGAATCAGGGTTCCGCGCAAAAAATTGAAACTCACGAGATTGTGAACAAAATACGCGTATTCACGCGTAAGTTGCTCATATTTTAAATAATTTATTAATTATTTCTTTTAAGATTATGTAAAATGTCAATGCAGTGATACGAACTGGTAGAGACTAATAATTTGCCAAACAAAAATATGCATGATATGACTCAATGTCATTTGTACTGTATAACACTTACGTGTTTTAAAAATTAATTACTTACCTATTTTACTTTTCCCGACCTTTGGCTTCAATTACCGTGAACTCATATTGGTAAACATGAGTGACTAATTCTTTTTGTTTTTCACTTTTTAACTGATTTCCAAAAAGGAGGAGGTTCTACCTTCGCCCGTATGTATTTTGTATGTATGTATGTTCCTTTATTTATTACGTACTAAACGGCCGAAATTCGACCATAATAATCTTTATTTGAGGAAAACATAAATATGAATAGCACTTACCTATCTATATAATTTATTATGATTATGTTTGACATTCAGTAAGACTATAGACAAATAATATTAAAGACAAACAATATTAATCTATTCTCAATTTGACCAAAACTAAAAAAAATAAACAAAAGAGTATTTATACGTGTGTGTGTCAAATACATGGTAGTGTGTGTAATGTTTTTTTTATTGCTTTAATGTATTTTTTATGCATAATTTTTTTAAATATTAGCATTCTGCACTACTTAATTAATATATAGATTCCTTACTATTAAGTGTACGGGACTTTGGACAAGTGAAGATTCTAAAATCCTAACTTTATATAAATAAAAATTTGAAGTCATGTCCTCAAAATAACTATATTTATATAAGAATAAAGTCTGCTACAAGATATTATAAAAAGATTATAAATTTTATTTAATGTTGAGACTAGACCACAAGCGTAACATACTCGGAAACCAACGACCTAGTGTGGATCAAGGCCTATTGTTATATTTTTTTATGTAATACCATTGTTTCTTGTAAAATTCTCTTTACTATTTGTTTCAGCATTTCCCACAAGCTTATGCTGCAATAGAAAATGACGTATGACATTGTATCATTTACTTAAAAATATGAATGACTAATGTTGGTTTCAGATGAATAAAAAATTTGAAAATCAGAAGTCATGCTTATTTTTCATTGCTATTTTTAATAGTTGACATCTTTAGCAAGAGCTACAAACTATATATATATATATATATATATATATATATATATATATATATATATATATATATATATACATCTTCTTCTTCTTCTCCCTGCCCATTTCCCAAATCACTTGGGGTCGGCGCAGTACATCTTCAGTGTACTGCTGATAGGATTTGGCAAAAGTTTTACGACCGGCCGCCTGCCTGACGTCAACCTTCCTTGGGAATGCTCTTGTCTTTCTTTGTCTGAATGGTGTTAAATATTATGCACTTTCGATTTTGTTGTGTTTTAAAACATTTTTTATACTATTAATTCAATTATTAATGTTATTTTTGGATATATTTTAAAATAAATTTCGATTACACAATAAATTTTGTATTGACATTGTCAAATTTTTTCTTCTAATATATATATATATATATATATATATATAATATTGATATTGGATAGTCATATATACATCTTATTGCTCTACACAAAAGAAATACTCTGAATAGAGAAATATACATGAAATAAGAGATATGGTAACACACTCGCTTGGGAAACCAAATAAAGCAGGTTTAAATCACAGGAATTGTACCTCTGATATTTTCATGTCTGAATCAGTTCCAACATGATTACTACTTGTCTTATAGTGAAGGAAAACATCATGAGAAAACCTACATGTCTCAAAGAGAAAACCTAGCAAGTTATCAAAAGACATGTACAGTCTGCCAACTCATACTTGACCAGTGTGGTCATCTATGCTCTAAAAGAAGCCCGTGTTCAACAGTGTGACGTTGAAAAGGGCTGAATACATACATACCATAGGGTGAAGTAATAAACAAGGATGTATTCAGCATGCTTCCTAACAAGATTCACATTCATAATATTAGTGTAGAGAAGCATCCATAATGTTGTATTATAAATATTTTTTGCAACGATAAAGGTTGTATATAACAGTTGTATCTAAATATAACGATTTCTTTAAAACTGAATCAATATGATACATTTCCATACATAGATTCAAGGCTGTATGAATTAGGCATCAATTAAAATGTACTAGATTGCGTTCAACAATAAGTGAGTTGCCACTTGGCAATAAAACAGTCAATAAACAATGATAAATAAATATAAAAATATGTTGGGACATTACCACACAGCACCATCTAGTTCCACAGTAAACTAGGAGGCTTGTGTTATGGATCCCAGAGACTTCATACACTACACTACAATATAACTTTAAATACATACATATTATAAATATAAACACCCATGACTGGAGTACAAGCATTTGTGCTCATCATGCAAATGAATGCCCCCAGCGGGACTCAAACCCGCGGTCTCTAGCACAGCAAGTACAAACTGAGCCAAACATGTTGTCAAAATAATAATATTAAAGAATTACTTGAGATTTATATGAAGTATCTTTTATCTTTAAATATGACAAAAAATATTTTATTTTCTTTATAATTTCAAGTAGTAAAATTCAATATTTATTTGTTTTAAAATTAATGGAAAATTTTTATAATTGCAAGATGAATATATTTCAGTATAAAGTATCAAAACAAAATATAATGAAATTCAAGTCATACTTATTTATCATAAAAAATGAAACACAAAGGTAATTTCATTTTAGATAAAATTCGAATGTTAACAAACTGGACAATTTAAATTGCAATCTTGCATTTCTAAAAATCTACTTGTTAAGTTATTTAAAAAAATATTAACAAAGATAAAACTGAATGCATGAATTGGTTTTCTGTTTATTCAAATATAAGATTCATACAAGAACCACCTATTATCTTCAAGCATGAGGTTGAGATAATGTTGTCAATTCGTTTTATTTTTTTACAAAATATAATCAATTAGAGCATATTTTATTGATTTCTAACAACAAATTTGTTAAAAGTTCGAAGCATTAATACTAAAGACAATTTCAAAAATAATAATATTAGTAGTACTTACTTTCTTTCTCGTGGTCAAAGCCCACTATTACGAAATAGTCCACGAGCCTGGACATGGCAATCCTACCGCAACATCCAATCAACACCACAAAAACACTTTGTAATTAAATTACACAGAACCAAACACATTTTTTGACTAATTCACATATTCAAGCACCGCTACCGTATCCAAGTGCACTCGCGACGTGAACTGCACCATGAACTTCAGAAAATGTAAACAGAACTTTCATTTATCGCGATCTCAACAACTCTATCTACAATTACAACAACTAATTACGCTCAACCCAGATCGAGAGGTTATAAAATAAATAAAATTTAGATAATTTTGAGTACAAATCGTTACAAGTAAAACTCATACGTTTCGAACTTTAAAATATCTCAAATATAAAAAAACGTCTTGTAGGGTTTATAATTTTTTGGATTAGTAACGCCACTAATTAGTCTGAAACCTCAAACCCTCTCTCGTCATCCGACATTTCCAAAAAACTACTACCAGACGGCAGACACCAGTACCACTTAGAAAAAACTCTACTTCTACTTTTTCAATGTTACCATAACCTATTAGATAAAATCTACTAATATCACCTATTATTGTCTATACAATTTGTTTCATCATGATCATAATTTAGGATCAGACAGTAAATAAATTTTTAAATTTTGCCATTTTATTGTGAAAAATAAAATATATTTTGTTAACATTTTTGTCACTACCTTTATATTTTTATAGAAATGTCATTTGACAGTTGTTATCAGTGACTCTCAATAGGGCAGTCGATTATAAGTACCCTTGTTATGGGCAGATCAGAAGTTGTTCGGTTGTGAGCATGGCAATTTGTCAAAAAATGTTCCAAAATATATAAGGTAATCTATATATCTCATTAGTTTTACAATATTTTAGTAATTATAATAGTTGCTTTATCATTTTTATTTTGAAGTATAAACTGTTATTTTTAAGTACTTTCAATACTTTAAATTTTTGCTAAATTATTTCATTAATTTTTAATAATTATTTGATTGCTTAAATGCCATATTACGAGTTATCTTGGGTATTTTGGGTGCTTGTAGATATATTTTGAAGCGCTCCATTATAATGTTCAATGCTTCTTAAAATGATTGGCTACTCTTTTTCTATCAATCTCCTATGTTATATTCAAAAGTAAATAAATTTCATAAGGTGACCATAATGAAGGTACACGATCTATGTCAAACTTCTTTATTAAGAATTTATAAGTTTTTTGGTGCGATCAGAATGGTGAAGAGGTTTCTCATAGCTATGCATTTTGCTCAGAAACCTAAACTTATCCAATGTTAGCTTAAGTGAAAAGAAAATAAAAAATATAAAAAAACGATAATTATTAATTGGCTTTTAACTTTTAAAATAATCTTTGAGTTTTATTTTGGTTTAGAAGAAGTAAACATTAGATTCGTTTTGGGCCGTAACAACTAGTTTCGATCAAACTATAATCGTTGCCAGACCTTTGATAATCAGCCTACTATCGTCCACTGCTAGACATAGGCTTCTCCTATGGCACGCCGCATGCCACTGAGATCCATCTTTAGCTAAGCGTATCCTACTGCTGCAAGCTACTTTAGGTATATCATTGCTCTACGCATCCTAAGCTTCACTTGCCGAATGTTTCAATTCTTGAATCCATCTGCGGACCCATCAGATTACAATACTGATTTACTAACAAGAGACTTGAAAAGTTGAATAATGTTAATAGAAACATATAGGAGCCAAATATTATTGTTTAGTTGAAAATAATAAAAGGAATGAAAGTACAATAATTGGTCTATCATTTGATATATTCGTAGTGTATTGAACTTGTTTTTTTAACCATTATATGTTTTAAGGCGATAAATGTTAGTCGAAAGTTTTTTTATTCCTAATTCTTATATATCAATTTTAAGGATTATATTATTAGATAAAAATAAAAGCATATGAGAGTATTGAATTCATTGTTTTCCAAGTTGTCCAAAATTTCTTTATTTAGATTTTAACTACCATGCTCAAACCTACTAAAGTTTAGTTAGAATTATTATAATGGCAATTTTGAGAAATTTAATGTCACTGTCACATTATTCTATCAGGGGACGTTATCAAAATATTGATATTTTTATGTGTACAATTATAAAATCAAGCAAATAGCAATAATCAAAACAATAGTGATTTAATGTATGCTTCGGTGTGCTTTTATACAATTCTTAACAATGTCAGACTCTAACGAAGTAATTCCTGGATTAATGCAGAAAAAAGTATTCAAAATTATAGTATTAGGTGACTCGGGGGTGGGAAAAACATGCCTCACTTATCGTTTTTGTGAAGGACAGTTCCTTGATAAGTCAGAAGCAACGATAGGTGTAGATTTTAGAGAAAGGACGATACGCATACGTAATGAAGAAATTAAGGTGCGTATTAGAGAAAACATTTATAGTAAACTTATTCTATATATTTTCATTTCTTTAAATAAAGAAGTTAAAGTCATAGTGATACTTAACTTTTTTTGTGCATTTTCTTATTTCTAAGGGGTGGTAATTGTAGTAAATAATCATACTAGGGCTTTTTAGTAGGTAGTATTTTCTTTCTAGTCCTTATTAATTAAACATTTTGCTTTTGCATCAGCTTCAACTGTGGGATACAGCAGGACAAGAAAGATTCCGCAAATCCATGGTGCAGCACTACTACAGGAATGTCCATGCCGTTGTTATTGTGTATGATGTCACTAAACCAGAAACATTTCATGTAAGTATAATTGTATAATCTTTTTTTACAATATACTAATATTAATTAATATTGCAACATACTATCTTAATACTTCTGTACTGCATCCACTTTGACTTATCTTCATCCTGCCTGCCTTTCATCCAATTAGCACCTCCATAAAATTAAATCGACAAGCTGTGTAGATAACCTTATGTTTATATTTATTTAGTTAATTAATTAATATCATATGTATGTACACTTCAGAATGTGACCATGAAATTGATATCGTAAACTATACTTTTATTATAACCTAATTATCTGGTAATATATGTATTTGTATGTGTCAGTCCATAGCAAGCTGGATGCAGGAAGTAGAGTCTCATGGTCTGATGGGGGCTCCTCGTGTACTAGTTGGAAATAAATGTGATTGCGGCACTCCTGAGTCTCGTCTTGCAACTACTTATGCACAAAGGCTTGCAGATAAGTATGGCATGCCTGTAAGTTTATCATGTTTATTATTTGTGTGACAATTTTATTTACGAACAATACAAACATTGTGATAAATTTACATGAAAATTAATATTCTATATATTATGTTTTAACAAGAAAGTGAAGACTTTTCTGTCCATTCTATCTATTTTATATAATTTACAATGATAAGGAATACTGCCTGTATGTAGCAATCTATTTGAGATAATCTCGGACAATATATATGTTGTTAAAATATTTAGTATGTGATGATGTTGAACACATGTATTGACATAATTATTATCAGTGTAAAATTGAAACAACACAAATTACGTATTTACTAATAATTCCTAGATCTCTTTTGATCTATAATAGCAGTTTTATAGATACAATGAACTATTTTTATCTATGATGGCTAAATGTACCCAACTCAATATTACAACCCATGACATCATTATACACAGCAGTAAAAGTTAACGGCTATGTCAACAGAGTATTATATTATAACAGTAAATATATTCTTTCTATATATATAACATAATTTATGCTCCTAAAGATTTTCTAAATGTGTATAATTTTTACTTGTAGTTATTTGAAACCTCAGCTCTTCTAGACTCAGAGTGTAACAATGTGGAGTCCATTTTCATGACTCTCGCACACAAGCTGTACTCCAAACAACCTCTGCGTGTTATCAGTGTGGAGGTGAGGTAGTTTCTTATATTTTGTAAAAGAGCATTTAATGTATTTCTTAATTGATTAAAACATTTCGGGCGCAAGACACTTTATTAGATTTTAAACTATTATTTTTATAGGTATATTTGTCACATTCAGGATAAACTGTTTATGAAATTTTAGGTTCTAAACATCGATCAAAAAAGTACTAGATACACAATCGGTGACAAAAAATGTCCTCACCGAATGAGCGCTCATTTGAACATTTGAGCGCGTCTTTTTTTTTGTGAAAACAACTTTAAGCATTGTATTTAAGCTTCAATTTACGTTGTTGTATATTTATTACAACTAGAATAATTACGTAAACACAATTGGTGACAGTTTTAAGAGAACTTTTGCATGGGATTGTGTATCTAGTTTATTTTAGATTATAATGGTCCTAAAAGAAAATATTTTTGGCCATTTATTGTTTGGGTGTAAAATATGCTAATAGTAACTTATGAATATTTTCAGGGCGAACGCGGTCCCAGACTCGTCACGCTGCAGCGACAGAAGCGAAACACAAATACCAATAACGACACTTGCCTCTGCAGCTAGGTAGCTATCAGTGATTACATAAAAAATAAGTTACAGTTGAAATTGTCTTAAGTAAATTTAGTACATGTCTGTTAATAAGAGATTTTTATATGGAGAAATAAAATTGTATATGACATTACAAAAAAAAAAACATTAATAGCTTTAACTTACATTTTTAAAGCTGTTTCCTAAATATTAGATGCCAAACAGTAGATTCCATTTTTTGGCACACCAAATTTTTTAAGCATTTGTTTTATAATACAAAAAAATTCGGTAATGCAGTTACACAGTATTGCTCCTTAGTTCTTTTTAAGGCTCCTGTTAAAACTGAGAGCGACTAAAATATTATGACGACACATGAACGCCTTCCATGTTATATTTTAATAGTGACAGCTTTAACATTTTAAAGTACAATAACTTAATATGTTATATGGAGTATATTTTTATATTATAATAAGTAATAAGTATATGTTTTTGTTTATTAATCCCCCCACGACCGCGGACACATCGGCGTTACAGTTAACAATAGATTTCTTAGAAATTTACCTAGAGGTGTTAGAAAAACTAGCGACTTGCTTCGCTCAGACGCGTCCCTAATTACGTTTTAATTTTTTTGACCGGAACCTTAATTATTTTTCTAAAATAAAAGTAGTCTAAGTTCTTAGTTACTCCTTATAACATCAGCTATCTGCCAGTGAAAGTCCTGCTAAAATCAGTCCAGCCGTTTCGGAGATTAGTTGCAACTAACAGTTGGACAGACAAGTATTTAAAAAATCGTGTTTTTCTTATAAATACCGTATATAATTTCATATGCATTAAAACTGTTATATTGATATTACAAACAGACACTTCAATTTTATTTATCTGTATTAGTAGAGCAGCTGTCTTACATTACTAGATTTTTTAAATAAATTGGACATATATAAAATTATTTGGAAGTATTGTAATGAAATAAAATTAAAAAAAAATACAGTTTAAGAACAATGCACCTACATACATAGTCTCTTACATAAATATTAACTGATTAATGGCTGTGGACTCTATATCTTTGATAATAAAATTGTAAATCGACAAATATACAAAGTCAAAATTATATATAAAATATTCTTTCTAAAAAATGTATTGGAGTTAAGTAACACTCATAAGTTATTTTGTTTTTTTTTAGATGTATTTCTCCTATTTGAATTGTGTTAACGGATAGAAAATTTTAATGTATAAAATCACTTTTTTATTGTAAAGTTTATTTATATATTTAAGATATCGCTTCATTCCGTTAAGTAAATTAGTATTATATATTGATAAATTTGTAGTATATGTATAAGTATACGGTCTATAATAGGGAACATGCGTGATTTTTTTTTTATTTTCTATACAATATCAATAGCTAACATCGTTATATAATTGTAAAAGAAATATCCAGCTCCAAAAAACTCAAATTTGGTATATATATTTATTTTTAATATACCGATACGGATAATTTAAACGCCCGTCATTTCTAGCGCTTGGCGTGACGTCACAGTATCATATACATAGAAAAATAACGGCTTTAGTTTGTATGACAAAATCGACAAAACGATCTGTTATGATAATACTTTGACGTCATATTCGGTCTGACCAATGGCGAGCCTTTAACTACTTTAAATTTCCCACTTATATTTGTATTTTTAATAATTATTTTCTCAATCGACATAAAAAAAATTACGTTAAAAATATTAACATAGGCTTTATTCAAAAGCAAAAAAGATTATAATAAAAATATTTCACCTTAAATCACACGCATAAAATTTGTCTGATTCCACCATCGCGTTAATCAAATGGAGACTGTTTTCACCATGCTTCCATAGATTTAATGGTTTAGGATATTATGTTTTCTCAACTTTTTTAAATCATACGTTAATTCGTTACATTAATAACAAATATTACTATTTCCTTTTCGAATGCGAGCGATATATCTAAATTTGAAACTCCTTTCGTATGAAATTTATTTTAGCATTGATCATATTCACAGTTACATATTCCACTATTTGACAATAATGTATCTAATATTTTAACGCCGATTATATAAAGACTGATTAAAAAAAATGATGAAATTAGTCCTGAATGTCAAATTTATGTCTTGTTGAAAGGAAACCGTCTGAGTTGGTGTGGACATGTGAAGAGGAGGGATGACATGTGACGAGAAGAGTGATGGAAATGTATGTAGATGGATGGAGAGGTAGAGGATGACCAAAGAAAAGATGGATAGATTGTGCGAGACTGGACAGGACATGGAAGAGAAAGGGGGTGATGAAGGGATGACAAGTAAGAGGGGAGAGTGAAAGAGAAGGACTTACTGCGCCGACCACAAGTAACTTGGGAAATGGGTATGGTGATGATTATGATGTCAAATTTACGTCTCCTTTTATCACTAGATGGCGCAGTTTCCATTCCATATAAATTCGCGTTAACTTTTTCAATCGAGTGGGTAAGAAAACTCGCAGTAGTTATACTGGTCACTGAGATACTGGTAACATACGTGTAATAAATATTATAAAACACATTTTAGGATCTATGCTCCTTCTGAAGCAGGGTATGTCATAGAATCAATTAAATACTCTGCATAAAGCTATTTTTAAATATATTAATGAAACTATTTATATGGATTACAGCTAATATAGAGGCTAAATTAATGTACTGAAGAAGTGTAAATTGTTTGTCGTTTTATATGTATTTATACTATTAGATATAACACCCAAAAAAGTTCACTTTATATCTTTCACCTTTCTACTCTTGTGGGGTAGATAAGGTCTTTTAGCCTCGAGATATGTAAATGAAGAATAAATTATGGACTGGATTTTATATAAAAGCGCTCTTAAATATACAAAAGTTCTCTGTTTGAGTAATTTTTCAAATATTTTGCTGAAACATTTTTAGTAGTATTTATGTTTTTACGATTCTATGTGGAATAAAATGATGAAGAAAATAAAATGTACATGCATTACACTATCGCTATCCAACTAAGAATAGATGTATGCATTGACGATGCTATATTTCACGGTGCAAGAGATATGTATAGCAAAGAAAAACGTGTGTGTGTACTTATGTACGCACGTAAGAAGTTATACTTCTTTGGCGTAACAGATTAAAAATAACTAAAGATTTCATCCCGTATGTCACAACTCTCTGTTTGTAAAAGGAATGCAGCTAACTTCATCATGTCGCTTTCAGCTAACTTCATCATGTCGATTTTTGGCTGTTGGTGTACGCACGCATCTTAAATAATTTTTTCCAAATGTACCTAAAGAAGTATAACTTCAAAAATTATATTTTTTTCTTTTTCGTATAAGCAATTGGGTAAAATCTTATTTCACTGTCTAAGATACATTAAATTGGTATGTTATGACAAATAAATAAATAAAAATATGTATTATATTTTAATTAAGACTGAGAACTAATAGTCTAACAAGTTAACATGTACAGTGCATGTGCCAATGTATTCTGACGTAATGTTTTACTTTAGAACGACACTACCATAGACGCTACTTGAAATAATTATATATAAATGTAGTTTTGTATCGTAGGTATCTACCAGTTAGAATTAAATTTTAGAATATAATATAGTACAAAGTCTACGATACGTAAAAATTGTTCTTTGTTTGTCCTGTTTACTTTCTTTGTGGGGTGGCACCATTGATATCCTTTACCTAGGGTGTCATCCGTGAAAGATACGCTATTTATTCATTGATCAAAGGTCGTAGGTTCTATTTCCGTGCAATGTTTATGTTTGGACTGTATCAGAGGCTTAACACATAGTATCTTTATACAACTAAAAGATGGAAAATATATGCAAATGAAATACGAGTAAAGTAAATAGTTACTTTATAAAATTATTTAGCCGTATATTTAATTTTTATCTCATAGACCAGTTAAAGTATCGAACAAACAAAGTATTAGATACACAATCCCATATAAAAGTTCTCTTAAAACTGTCACCAATTGCGTTTAGGTAATTATTCTAGTTGAAATAAATATACAACAATGTAAATTGAACCCTAATTGCAATGGTTAAAGTTGTTTTCAAAAAAAAACCTTTTTAAATTTAAAGCGCGGTCAAATGTTCAAATGAGCGCTCATTCGGTGAGGACATTTTTTGTCGCTGATTGTGTATCTAGTACTTTTTTGATCGACGAGTTAAAGTGACCTGTGTGTTATATTTTCAGTGTGTAATAAGTATCTATTGATCTCTGCTTCATATTTTTAAATATTTTAAGTTTCATATATTAGTATGTAAGAGAAATAGTGCAATTTTTAATCTTTAGGCAGCTAGAATTGGTACAAACTGATGAATGTAAACAGGTTTTTTTTTATTTATAACCTACCAGTAAATAATTTAAAATTTGGTTTTCAATAATAATTAAGTAAGTAATAAATATATTTGGCATTGTATTAAAATATATAATTGTGTTGTCTTCCTTTTCGTATGCCCTTATTCTAAGCAATATTTTCCTAACGCTTCTTTACGTTAATATATCTACAAGTAATTGTATTTTTAAAAATGAATTTTATGTTAAACGATGATTTGGAAAAATCTTGTGTCTTTCTTTTGTGACTTGGAAAGTAATGATTGTAAAATATAGTACAGTGATTAAGTGAGACTAGACAATGAATATAGCAATTGTTACAAATAGCTTTGTTTTATTTTCCTTTATTGAACCTTCATGACTAAATGTTTTACAAGTACAGATTTCTTCATGCAAAATATCGTTTGTATTTGATGGAATATAAATATCTGTGAAGAACCTAAGTATTCAGCCCTTTTTAAGGTCCCACAGCTGGGCACGGGCCTCCCTCCAGTACGAGGGGCATCAGGCCATAGTCCACCACGCTGGTCAAGTGCGGGCACATGTCTTTCGAAAACTTGCCATTTTCATTTTATTTGGTAAGCACCTAATAAAATTAAAACAGCGCCATCTGTGAATAGGCGTTACAAAGTTATGTAAAAGCTGATTTTTTAATAATCAGCAAAATTATTATGCAAATTAGCTTTTTGGAACAAATTATTTTATTTTGCCTTTTTTACAGTATTTTTAAAAACCAGAGTATATAGTTTTAAATCTTCTTTTTTCCTTTGTTGTTGTTAAATTTAATTATCAATAACAAATCAGTCACTACATATAACGCCATCTATTGACGCAAATTATTATTTTTTTATTCCTAAAGAGACCTCATCTATACTTAATAACATAAATATGCGAACGAATGTTTTTTTTATTTCTTCTTCTATCACGCAGAACCAATCAACTCAGCGACACAATTTTATGTATAGAGATTTTTTGGCCGGTTCGTACTTTTTACTCCGATTTTAAGAACTGCCAGCGCATAAATGCGGCTTTCCTCATTGGTCATAGATATGACTTGAATTGCATTAAGCAAGTAAAAGGCTCGATTCCCGTACCATGAAAATGTCAGTGAACGTCTTATAATATAAAAGGAAATTCCTAATGTTTTTTGAAATAAGACGTATATTTCAAATTATATAAAATATTTAATATCTCAATTAAGCTCGTTGCGTCTCATCACAGATCATAGGTCTCATTCACTATGCTAATAAAATTTACATCTATATTATAGAGGTAAAGTTGTGAGTTTATGACGTTGTAGGGGGTAATCTCTGGATCTACTAAACCGATTTAGATGTAATATAGTAAGAAGATAGTTTGAGACCGTGGGAAGGACATAGGATACTTTTTATCCCGGAAATCATCTCTTAAGGGGTTGAAAATGGGGATGAAAGTTTGTATGGTGAATCAAGCTAGGGACGAACCCGAACGAAGCGAGGGTGAGTCGCTAGTTTTAAATATAGCGTACTTGAAATAGGTACTTGTTATTATCATATTACTAGTTGGAGTAAAATCATATGGATATTTGTTATTTTTCGGTGCTCATATTTTAAAATAAAATCCTTCTTTTACTAGTATAATAATCATCAACACTATTCTTTTTTTTATTGCGTTCTTACTTTTGAATCTAGGAATAATGTTTAAATTGATTGGACAACGGATAGGTGGTTCTTTAATAAAAAAAGTTATATTTTATCATTCCTATACAAACGATTCTAACAAGAAAATTATATTTATTATAGCAAATTGTGCCCTTTTGTACACATCATAATATATTTTTGCATTATAATCGCCTTTATACATGTTATACAACGTGTATCTTACACTAGTGACTCATCTCCTCAACTCAAATTTCATATTTATAATAATAGCTTTATATAAATGGATTATTTTTTATTCAATTTGCACTAAATGTACATTACAGATACATTGACAAGATACTTTTTATCAAATTCAGCACTTTTTCACAACGACTCCGTGGCGCAACGGTAGCGCGTCTGACTCCAGATCAGAAGGTTGCGTGTTCAAATCACGTCGGGGTCATTCGTTAATCATTTTGTTTTGGACATTCTATAAAATTATTTTTCTACACGTATGGACTATTCTATTGTTCATGTGACCAAAGATTGAGAAAATAAATTAACTTTAAATTAGTTTTTTTTTTCACTTAATGACGTTACGAATCGCAACAAGTTACTGTTAGGTTTGGTATGTATATGAATCAGTAAAAAATTGAATTGGCTTCTCAAAAATCTTTACAACATTTTGTAAAGTTCATGAAAATACACAAATCCTTCATCCAACACTAAAAAAGGTAAGCTTTTTCATATGTTTTTCGAGAACCACATATGAGCACTTTTAAAATTCCATCTAATTTGCGATATTTGTAGGGAAGGCCATTACAAAAACAAGCCGAGATCGTTAAAGACTTTAATAGATTATTTTGTACAACCTTCTATTGAAAATATACTAAGCTAGCTCTATTAGAAATCACACAAAAGTTTAAATTTAGTGTTTTTATTGCACAAACACAATACGTATATACAATGAAAAAGTTACAAACAAATATAATAAACGCTAAATATAAATACAAAAATAATATATATATTTAAATTTTATACCAATGAGTCATGAAAAAAAGATGAAAAAATTAGCAATAGTATTTGATTTTATAATATTTATATAAGAGAATATCATCTATCAATTAGATTTTCATATACAATATTTTAAGTTTTGAATTATTTATAAAAAACCTTGTCACTACAGGCGCCATTGTATTTATTTATCATCTGTAGAAAAATATATATACATATATAGAAAAGAAAAATATTTTAAACTAGAATATTTTAATTTCGAAAATAACACAATGTTACAATCTCTTATTGAAATATTAAAAATAAATTACACGAAACAGTATTTATAGGCAAACACAAAGAGTATGACGGTTTCTAAGTAAATACGCATACGTGCAAACCAACATTTATAGAAGCGTTTTGAGAAAGTTTAATACAAACAAACAACTACACAAATTTATTACAACTATTACAAATATTAAAATTACATAATACATTATATACATACGTATATATATTATAATATCCGGGCAAATTGTAAACCCATTAATATTAACAGCATGAGCGTCTACATAGGAACCGTCGTTTTATTACGTTATAAGAATGTTTTATTTTGAATTTTGTGCGTACTCTCTATTAGGGTCGAACCACACTATAGTGTCGATGACAGTACGTTCTCGGTTCGATATCGGTGTGGTAATGTTTTTTTTTATATAAGAAACATTTGCTGGAGCGTGATTCGATCGAAACGTGACTCTTACTGATCGTGTGAATGCTCTCATTGTTTCTTGTACAATACTTTACCAGACAGAGAGCGAAACTTGATCGGCACTATAGTTTGGCGGTTCTTAGAATAACGTTAGATCAAAAGCTTTAATTATAACACAATATAATTTTCTCAAACTTCACATATTCGTGTAACCCTGAAACCGTAACTAGCCTTGGGATTTATTGACAACTATATAATCGATACATCGATGTTAAGATATACGTTTATCGTTTCAAACGCAAGGAAGTCAAACCATTCCTAAAGCTCATTTACACATAGAGAATTTCGTAGCTTCTATACGGAAAGCAATAAAAAATATTGGAAAATCGTGTAATATAAATTGTACCGTATGTCGTTGAACTTACGGTATAGTTTACATTGCTTGTTGCGGCTTAAACTCTACATGTAAACGCGCCTTCGGTTATTAGTGAACATATTATATATTACAATTAGCAACGACGTTAAACAATAATAATATTTATTTATAAGGTAATTTCACAATATTAAAGACGAATCATAATTTCCTAAAGCACAGCCTTCGAACCGGCGGCTACAACGTTTCTACGAGACAAAGTTTAATATCGCGTTCTCTAAAACTAACTTTATTTATTATCTGTGCAACAATTATTGAAAAAAAGGCATTAAATTTTATGATATAGCATCGTTGAAAGCTGCCACGGAATATATCAACATTAATTAAACATATAATTTTCAAACGCCAATCAGGCGTTCCTCGCAATATCGCCATCTCTAACATGACGCTGGCTGTACACAGTCGCCGAGACATTACGAGACAGGCTGAGAGCGAGTATGTATGGAGCTTTCGTCTCGTCTCGCTCTCTCTCGGCTCGCCACCTCTCGGTCGCGTGTATGTTTTATAGGCCCGAGTCAAAGGATCTCGCGAGGAAAACAAGAACGAACATGTACACACTTGTTAATTTAGTTGCCTGCTAATTAAAACAATGGTAATATCCAGGTCCATCATGGTGGCGGTGAACGGTATCCATAACTCAAACGCTACAACGAGTGTGTACATGGTAGGCCTGTTTGAGCCTCGAAAGCACCAAAAGCTCGAGAGTCGAAGCAAGGTGCTCTCGACGAGTGTGTACTGCCGGCATGAGCTGTTAGAGAGAGGCGTTAGAGTCGAGAACACAGTGTAACTAAAAACAAAAGGTAATAATTAATTAATACTATAAACATCTACAAACTAACTCGACAGTGCCTCCAGCGCCTATCACAGTTCAATTAATAAGGCTTGATGCACACTATGAGTTCACTCTCAACTAGATAATGTAATTCAATACAAAAGTCACGGTATTACTATTTTTCTTCATATATCTTTCCCTCTTAAGTATTATATGAAGAAGGCGTAAAGACTCGTTACGAAATAACAGACGTAATGAACAAAAGGAACTATTATTTAATAGGGGAATCGAACCCACATCCTACAACCAATAAGATATTGCTAGTTTTGACGCCGTTCGACGAAGCAATAATATTGAGACGTGAGAAAACTTTAATTTACTTCCTACGTTTCTAAGCCAATCTAACAATTATTTTTATATATAAAATAAACATAAATAGAATGAACTCATAGTGTGAAACAACGCTACTAGCAACTATTCATAACGCTTTGTCGGTAGTCAAAAATCGTTTGCGATGAAAAAATCAAATCCAATTTACATATCCAACACATTACTTGTTTACGCATGTCTCTCTCGTTTCTGTTCAAGAACAAAATTCAACAATAACATGCGAACACATGTCTATACACGCTATATTACGTACGTCAAAATCGAGTGACAAATAGCTTACTTACTAAGCAAAAAATTTTAAAATGTACACTAAAAATTTCACAGGTAAAACACCGACGCCATTTCCACACGTCGGTGGCATGTGCTAAGGCATAATACGTTATAACATGTAGAATTTCAACGAACAGACCCACACATGTACACGCGTTTTGTACAATCTGTCAGACACTTGGTTCTACACGTATGTTATATACATACATACATGTTTCGACATGTTCTGCCTGCGTGTGCATGTTCTCACATGTTCTGCCAGGCGGTGGTGACGAGCATGTTGGTGTCGAGGCCGCGCGCTATCTTCTCGTGTATGCCGTGGCTGAGCCACAGCATGCGAAGCTGCTCGTACCGCTCCGGGCACAGGTGCAGGGGGTTCCCCCGGCGTAGTCCCTGGAAATTTATAGGAAGGAAATATTATTATTGGTTAATATTTTAAATTGCTATTTTTTGTATTGATCGTTTATATTTGAGCTTTGGTGGATAATTATTTTAATGTGTTGTTAATGTATAGTTTTTTAAATTTCGTAGCAATATTTACTTTTAATTTGTAATGTAAATTGGTAAAGAGAGTGACTGATTCTGTGAAGTTTTCACAACATTAAAACTGGTGCTTGATTGATATTGCTATAACAATATTGTGTTTGTATTTGTGAGTAGTAACGTTTTCGTGATGGAGCAAATCAATATGATAAAAAAATGGTGAGAATTAAAAAAACGCCGGAAACGCCGTGCGTGTAATTTTGACATTTTTGAATTTGCACTATTTTTAATATTATTTTAGATATTATAATTGATATTATTATTTTGATTACAATTATAATTATTCTATTAATTGTTTAAAAACTTTTTATATGCGTATATGTAACTTTGTAATTTAAAATTTATTCATATTTTATAACAATTGTAAGTGTGAAATAGTCGATTTTTTTAATGTAATTCAAATTTATAATTAAATTAATATTTTCAGGAAGACCCTCGGGTTTCCCCTGAGCGCTATAATATGGGACCTTAAATACCACTAATTCTTGTAGAGAAAATATTAATTTAATAGGTGTGGGGTCGGGGAGCATCTCGCCTGGTCGGTCTCGCCGTAGGAGTCGAGGTAGGGTGCGGGCTGCAGCGCGCCGCGCGCCGGCGCCGCCAGCAGCAGCAGCTCGCAGTCGCGCACGCGCAGGAAGGCGCCCGCGCCGGCGCCGCAGCGCGCCGCGTGCGCCACCACCGCGCCCACCAGCTCCGTGCCGCCGCGCGCGCCCGACTGTTCATGAGAACGGTTTGTGAATAAAACAAGTAAAATTATAAAGCGCATTTTACAACTTTACAAATTCAAGCTACTACGACCTTTACGGTGATATTATGAAAGAATATTTAACCATGTCAATTGACTTATAAATTGACTATATGTAAATAAAAAAAAACAGTTGCTTTATTACTATGGAAAAATAACAAATCGTAATAAAAAATAAATAATATTGTAATAGCGATAACTTATTTTAATTCAAAAAAGAAAACCTTCGAAATATCCTTAAAATTAACATTATAAAATTAAATGAATAAAATATTGTATTTTGGGTTTTATTTGCTTCATTGTGAACACTATACCACCAATAAATTTATTTAATTTATATGATATCAACCTTTAAGTATATTCATTACTAAAATGACACACGAAAACTACGTCAAAATACTTTTTTTGATATCAGTGAAATAAACACTCACCTTGCGTATTTCAATCTGGCAACAATAGCTCTGCGAGCACAGTATCTGTCCGCACACCAGACACATCGTAGGGTTCTTGCTGTCTTCCCTCTCCGAGTTGGGGCAAGAGAACTCTGAGACGACATTCATTAACTCCGAGAAGTCATCGGGCAACGTTATCAATCTTGGAGGTTCAATGGGCTCTAGGACCAACTGTAGTGACAATTCCCCACTAAACCACTCAGTCGACAGCTCTGACCAAGCCAAAGCCTTCTTCCTAGCCAATATATTATCTATTAAATCCACAAACGTGCTCGGCAAGTCTAAATACCCGCACATAGTGTCCCAAGTATCACCACCATACACCGTCAGCTCTCTAGGCGGCTGGATGTCACTTAAAAAGTGGTAAAACAGACAGCAACTCCTTAAAAAGTTGTGACACTGTTTCTTTACGCACTCCCATACTTCCTGTGCATTTAAATTATCAATATCTAGCCGTCCTTTTCTCAATTCCTTCATGAATGTTAATAGGTTTTCTAGGTCCTGCTTGGGGGTGTCCTCCATTGGTTGGCTGGTGCAGGATGTGACGTCAATGATGATCATGGCCCTGGTGAGTTGGGCTCTGAAAGCTTCTAGTGTTATTTGCCTCGCTAAATGGTTGGGTCTCGCAGGACCCGCGGTTTTGCAGAACAGGGACGGCGCGGATAGTACTAGGGCGACTAAAGTTCCGAATACTTCGTGGGTTAGTGGAGAGGTTTTCTCTAGAGTGCTGAGCGTGCTTAGAGCGTGATGGGAGACGTGTTTCGGTGACGGCCATATCGCTGGCACGACTGCTGCTAGTCTGATGATAGCTTGTAAGGCATCTCGGTGTCTGGAAGGCAAGTCTCCGAGTAGAGGTCTGTTTTCTGCTTGTAGTACTGCGTTAGTGCTTAGAATTGTGTATGAGGTTGCTCGATACAGCGCCGCCACGGAAACCATGCCGCCTGATTCTGACAGTCCACATATACCTGGAAGCATCTGTGAGAACAAGTACAATTTTATTAAAAACAATACTATAGAAAACAAAAAATAATTACTAGTTAAAAAAATAAACTGAGTACATAATAATATCGCTAATAAAACGCATGTTTAGTTCACACGCGGTAAAAGTGAAATCTTGAAACAAAGAAACTTTAAGAAAATGACACAAATGTAAAATTTCAGGAGTACAACAAAAGAAGGGGTTTATTTGTGATAATATTGAATACAAAGTTTAAAAATTTGCGGGGATGCTACAAAACACAAAGAGGAGACCGCGAATATAAAAAAAACACTATATAATGTATTCTATCTCATTATCTCGCACGTTAAATCCTATAGATGTGTGTTTGTCTCTATTTAATGTAATATAGGTGCACCAACCTTAGCGAAATCCTCGACCAGAGTCTTGAGCACGTCGTTGTAGACGGGCGTGTCGACGTCGAAGTGCGCCAGGAACTCTGCGGGCAGCAGTGTCTCGGCGTGCGTGGACACGTACACCTCGGCCTCGTCCGCCGCCTCGTCCTCGGCGTCGCCGCACGCGCCCGCCGCGCCGCCCGCGCCCGCCGCGCCGGCCGAGCGCGCGCGCGCGCGGCAGTGCAGCTCCTCGCAGTACTCCGTGCACACGTGCACCGGCTCCGAGCACACCTGCGGATGAATTAGTTTGATTGATAAAATAAAAACGGTTTATATTAAACGACTAGCAACTTAGCCTCGCTTAGCTGAGATGCCTTAGAAGTTTAGACGTAAATTGGAATTTTGCGTAATTTTTAGGGATATTCGATTTTCGCATTGGATCCCAAAATATTTCTGGATTAAAATAAATTTCTTTACCTTTCAATAAAAGTTCTAAACATAACCCAAGACAAACAGACAGACGGACAAAAATTAAAAAAAAAATTTTTTTTTGAGAACTGGTCTCATATAAATAACTATATACTTGACAAAACATATTATTTTAAAATTTATTAATATGTTAGATGTAAAGATTAAAAAAATGATTTTTAACTCATTTACATCGACGAGTTTCTTTTATAATTTTTTAATACTAATACGTATTTACAGTTTTTGAAAATGATTTTTAACCAACAAATCGGACTACAATTTTATGGTTTCTCGTGCTCTGCCTTGGCATAGGGATAAAAACACCGCCAACCTCCCAACTCTGGACTGTAACCAAATTTTTTTAATCAGAAGAACTAAATTTGGTCCGTCCCTAGCTTCAATGGTAACATTCGAATGAAATAAAAAATACCTTTACGCATTTTCTCGCGGAGTTATCTAATTTATTCCCAACGTTTCGAATACTTTACAGCAATAAAGGTCACGGGAGACACTAAGGTTTTAGACGTCTCAAAGATCATTATGGCAGTACCTGATGCTTCAACTTGAGTATGAGTTCGACCGCGTCGCTGTAGGTGTGGTCCGAGAGCGGCGGCGGCGCGCGCGCGGGCAGCGGCGGCGCGGGCAGCAGCGGCAGCGCCGTGTTGCAGAGGCGCTCGCACAGCGGGCACAGGTACTCCTTCTTCTCCACGTCGAACGCCGCCGGCTGACGGATGCGGTAAGGTCTGGGGGCGGGTGGGGGTTCGTTGTAGGTGGATGGATAAGAATCTTTATGGCATTGTCAACTCGCGACATTTTTTTTATTATTTTTTTAAATTGGCGGCGTACTATGAAAATATAAAAATGTAAGCAATATAAAACACTAAGTGTCAAATTTTCGATATATTTGACGGTAAATATTGACATGTAAAAACAAGGATATTCACTAAAAATAAACTAATTACATATTAATATCATCGATATTAATAGTTTTAATTTGTTCATCTTATTTCGACGAAAGAATATTCCCTCTCTATCTTATTTGCTTTTCCGTGACGAAAGATTAAAAATCATCAACATATCAACCATCATTTATTTATAATCAATAATTTTGGATTGAATCGAAAATATTCTCATTTAATGCATAATCAGTTACCGTATAACTGACACTACAGTACATACAAGATCCTGATTCGTACCTGAGCTTCTCCTTGTCGAGCACGCCGTCGACGTACTTGCGCCAGCAGCGCGCGTGCAGCGCGTGCCCGCAGCACGACACGTGAGGCTGCGCGCCCAGCCCCGCCGCCGGCCACGCCGCGCGCGCCTCCGCCCTGCCGCCGCCGCCGCCCCGCGCCGCGCGCGACAGCACGCTCGAGTGCTGCGCGAACGCGACCAGCACCAGCGGCTCCGACTTTGCCTCCACGCGCGCCTGGATACGATACAATCAAATAAAATCGATTAACGATCACTTAAGAGATCTTAACTAACATAAGAACACTTAGCTTAAATAGCTATTATAGACTGAACCTACACAAATGGATCGAATTTATCTTTCACGCGGGCCTACAAACAAATTAAGTTCTATCATCGATTAAAGTGGTGACTTATTGGCAACACTGAACACGTTCATATAAGGAAATCATAATATAAAAAAAATGTGACCCTCCTGATGGTTTGTATTTGCATTTTTAACGATCAACCCGTAACTGTTAAAAGACGCGTGAATTTGGTTTAAACACTTTTGGCTAGCATAGTAGATCATGGCCTCCTCCTCGCATCGAAAAAGATTTTAGGCCAAAATGGAACGTTGAAAACATCAATAAGCATAACATCCAAAGATACATATAACATAATATTGTATGTATGTACTAGCGACATAGCCCACCTCCTCCTGGCACATGATGCAGACGCGCGCGGGCTCGCTGACGCCGCCGCCCCACACGCCGAGCGCGGCGCCGCGATAGATCTCCAATAGATTCTGCTTCTCTTCCTCTTCAGTCACCTTTAATTAAATTTAAAAAAATAAATAAAACGTTATTGTGAGTGGGTAGAACCTTCGTGGCATTAATAAGTTTTCGCCATTTTTATTATTCATTTGATGATTTTTTCTCTAAAATAATAACGCTTATTAAAAATAGTGTGATAATTAAAAATGATATAAATACTTGTTAATATACATTTCATGTACGTATATATCATAATAAACTATAAACTGTAAAAACTTTACTTTAAAATATCTTAGAAAAGTGACACCTACTAATATTTTTTATTAATTTAATTGTCTGCCATCCTTATATACCAGTTTAAATAAAATTAACAACATTAAAAGAAATAAGCTATGAGTACTTCTTGTTATATAGGAATAACAATTAACATGTGTGCATTACTTGCTAAAATTTTTAGTATCAGATCGAGTGTTTCAAAGGACACCTCCAATATAAAATGGCACCCGCCATATGTCTTTTATAATAGTAACGTAGATAGATATCATATTTTAGTACTGGCATTGCCGCGGCTCCGCCCGCGTTCAGATGACCAAAAACCATATTCTTAGGTTTTACGTATTAGTATACTCTTACATTGCAGTTTATGTATATTATCTCAGAAATGAGACATTCTCCCGCGGTAAAAAGTATCCTATATGTTGACTCGGATAACCAGCTATCACCATAGCAAATTTCATTAAAACCCCTCCAGTAGTTTTTCCGTGATGCGGTAACAGACAGACAGACAGACAGACAAAAATTCTAAAAACTACAGATTCGGCCTCTGTATTGATAATAATGTCTATTTCAACAAGATTTTCCAAAAAATATTTAATGTACAGATTCGACTTAGTTACGATTTTATTATATGTATAGATAATCACCTCAGTTGTAGTTTCTTGGAATAACGTGGAGTTGTTAGATATGAAATTGTTCATTTGAGACTTCATCTGTTCCAACAGCTTGGCGCGTCTGTCGGCTGCGAGCTTGGCACGTCTTGCTTTCTCTGTAAAAAGTATAAGCAAATGATTATTATTTAATTACACCTTTACTCTAATTATAATTTCTCTAATTTATAGAGAACAATAAACACACTATTTGAATGAAATATTTTTATAGCAAATTATTTTGGCATATCATAATTTTAGCAATTTTATAGCAACATACCAGCGCTCTCGTCAACTGGCGACTTTTCTTCCTGATCAGTTTCCATACTTTCGACGTCACCTCCATCTCCGTCGCCTTGTCCTAATAATTTTCTGTGGAAACAAAACATTATATTTTTACTCATAAGATTATTTGATTTAATATACATATATTCGTCAGTTTAGTTTGTTTGTCATCATGTTTATTTATTTAATAAGGATCACCAACATGATATACAGTATCTTAACAAAATACATAACTGTACAAAGGAGGTCTAAATCCAACTGTTATCATATTTATAGGTATTATAAAGTATTATAAAGCAACAAAAAATAATAAAAAAAGAAACTATATTTATCATGAGAAAAAAAATAAACAAAATTGTTCAGTGTATGCTATTGTTTGTAACTTAAGAAACAAAAACTTAAAAGTGATGGAATGTATTCAGCCCTTTTTAACGTCTCTCTGCTGGGCGTGGGAATCCCTTCAATACGAGGGGGATCAGACCGTAGACAGATATCCATGATGGCCAAATTCATATTTATGACAACCCTGGCATTCAACGGCACATCCGTTTAAATCAAAGCCCTCCGCTCACTATCGTATATTTTTATACTACGAGTGAAAACAAAAAGGCAGTATCGTACCGCATCTTTTGTAGCAGCCAGCGCGCGAGCGCGCGGTGCGCGTCCACGCGCGGGCTGGCGGCCAGGCGCTGCAGCAGCGCCAGCAGGCCGCTGCGCGCCGCGCTCTCCGCGAACGCCAGGAACTCGTAGTGCCCGCTCTCCTCGTCGCGCAGCGCGTACCCGATCAGGTGGAGCGCCTGGGCACATACGCATAAATAAATAAATATGCTATGTCATATTATCTAGTTCCATGGTAAGCTACGAGGCTTGTGTTATGGACACTATATGGATATGAATGTTTGATGCCGAGGTTAGCCAGTTTGGAATTTCGCCACTTACGATTACACGCGTTTAAGTCCTGTAGTATCATTTTTATATGTTAAGTTTCTAATAAATAATTTTTGAGAAAATTTATATACATACACAATTTCTTGTTGAATTATTTATCGAATATTTTGAATGAAACTATTCCATCAATTTTTCTTCTACTTTAAATAAAGTAATCACTTTAAGTATTGCAAAATATCGTACGGTAGCATAAAGAGTAAGCCACCCAACTATATTTGCCTTCCATGTGTAGTGTGTGCAACCGACCTTGTGCACCTGCGGCTCGGAGAAGGAGCGCGCGCGCAGGTCGAGCGCGCGCTCCAGCACGCAGCGCAGCACGTGCAGCGCCGCGTCGCTCTGCAGCAGGCTGGCCAGCAGCCGGAACGGCACCGCGAGCTTGGGCAGCGGCGGCGGCGGGCAGCACTCCGGCAGACCTGCGACACCACTCACACTCGGAAACACGGACATTTTTAAACTGATTTTGGTCATTGACCGAAAATCGAAAGGCTTTTCGGGTTAAGGTTTCCATTATGTTCCTTATTCAGTTAAAACCAGAAATACAATTTTTGACGTTTTTAAGTACCAGGATAGAGAATTAAATGGTTGAATGAGTTTTTGTTACGAGGCAGTGGCTCATCGACGCAAAGAAATCTTCGGATCAGTGAAGTTACTCCGCGAAGTCTGTGAAGATCCCATGAAACTTCTATATGTATGAGTTTTTGTGCGTTTATATTTGGCAAATCTTTGCTAATGATGAATTGTTTAGTAGAAGAATACATGTCCATTTCTGGCATAAACCAATTTATTTCAATATCAAAACATAAGCTTAATCTTTTATCTAAGAATGATAATTTGATTCTACCAGTTAGTTAAAAACTTTGTCCATTAATACAGCAACCCAATCCAATGTTATTTTTTACTAAGTAATAATGTAATTATAAAATGTTATACACAAAACAATAAATAGAAAAAAAATATTAAAAAAAAAACACATATTCGTTCTTTCTTCATTCTACACAAGTCCACTTTTATTTCGATATAAATAAAAATAAGAAAATTTAACACTATAAACTAAAAAGAATATCACCAACCAGCAGTCTTCCGTCTATTCCTCTGTTCTTCCTCGCTTCTAGAAAGGTCTTCTCTAGTATAATGGTAGAAGAACGTGTCATATTCATCATACAAGTGCGGCTTCAGTTTGTAAACGCCGCGATTATTTCCACCAGTTGGTTTGACGAAGTCAGCGACCTCATGTATCACCGCTTCGAGTCCCGTCTCATGTAATTGATCTTCAGGCAAGGATCTGTGAAAGTGAAAGGTAAACTAAAGTTTATTGGCTACTAAAGAATGTAATCCCATTAATTATTATAAATGCGAAAGTTTGGATGGATGTTTGTTACTCAATCACGCCAGAATGGCTGAACGGATCTGGATGAAATTTGGCACAAAGGTAAGTCCAGTATATTAATATATGACCAAATATATTTTTTAAGTTAAATACTTAGGTAAAAATTTATAATTCAGGAAACCGTTATTCTAATAATAATTAATTTTACAATAAAATTTGTTCATATACCTATTTAGCTCTGAATGCGGCATAGGTTTTACGCATAGCATTTGGATAATCTCCTTTTTAGTCCGATCTTCATTGGTTACTTCACCTACGCCTGGTACGTATCGGGAACCCACAACTGTTGATAAAAAAAAATATTTTTGAATAAAACACAGATTTAAAAATTTTTTTACGTAAAATCTCTTTGCCGCTGTGGCAGTTACAGCAATTAAATTAAAACAAATCAAAATATAAATATAATAATTTTTATAAAATGATTAATAATAAATCTGACTATAACTTTCGCGACACTTATTTTTCCATTACATTTACTTACCTCTCAGTCACATCTAAATAATTTTTACTTCAAAAAATATAAGTTTTAAACAATAAAAATATCGTACAAAATTTAAAAGAGCACTTACTTGTAATAAGAAGCCTTAAGAATTCTTCAACCATACTAATTGTATGTCTTAGAGTGTCATCTTCTATGGATCTCTGTTCAAAGTCAGCGGAGGCCCAGTCTAGAAGGTTGAACTTATTTAGCACGTGAATTATGAATTCATTGCTTTCAATAAGTGAAGCACCAATCTAGAAAAAAGTAAATCTCTTTTATATCTAATTGATTAACCGACTTCACAGAAATAAGAGGGATGTTTTAAATATTAGTATATGTTTTCTTCTCTTATTGTGCTTAGGATTCAACCTAAAGGGTTTCATTTTTTTTCTTTACCTATAAACAATTTAAAAAATTACTCACTCCTTTGTGTAGATGGATACGGCAACATATAAGTATATGACATATAAAGATTATAGAATGGAGAGTGACATCACTTATCATATATATATACAATTTGCATACTACATATATAAATTAAACATGAATTTTTGTTTGTTCGGTCTGATCTAACAAACTACTGTGTACAGTACAATCTGTAGATTTTTATATGGTTTTGATCAATAGAAAGAGGGTAGGGGAGATTATATAAGAATATTATAGGCAAATTATAAACATTTTCCGTAGCTTAAACGAACTTAAAGCTTCTCTCTTTTATGTGTGAGTGACTACTTTATCCAGATACACCAAATATCTAACATGGAATATTAGTATAGAGACACAAAATAGAATGTCTAGTAAGTTCATAGTTTACCTGTAACATGACCACGTCCCGGTCAAACATCTCGGCGCGGCATTTGACGTTGTGGTAGAAGTAGAGCTGGTTGAGCAGCGCGAACCCGTTGCGCCGCCACATGCCCGCGTGCACCTGCGCTATCATCGCCATCGTGCGCAGAACCGGCTCTGTGTGAACACACACGTATTGTACAAACAGACTTATTATAATATATGCATCAACATCAGCAACATTGTTCGGTAAGATTTGTCACATATTTTTTTCATGGTTTGATGAATAATAATTGTTCTGTTCCTATTGCGCACAACATTAAATAGTCCGCGTGTTGTTATCGAAGGTAGGAAAAACGACATGATTGCAACACGACTTGACTTTCATACTACTTAATGAACATGAGGTACTTATCCTACGGTGAAGAAAAACATCGTGAGGAAACCTGCATGTCTGAAAGAACCTAGCAAGTTTTAAAAGACATGAAATCCGCCAACCCGCACTGTGCCAGCGTGGTAAACTATGGCCTGATCCCCCTCATATTAAAGGAGACCCGTGGCCAGCAGTGGGACGTTCTAAAAGGGCTGGATACATTTGAATAATCTATACATATAAATAGAATTGAAGTGTCTGTTTGTAATGTCAAAATAACAGCGTTTTACTAAATGCATATGAAATTATATACGGCACTTATAACAAAAACACATTTTTTTAAATTTTTGTCAGTGAGTCTGTCTGTCTGTTTCTTCCGGATAATCTCTGAAATGGTTAGAGTTCAGCTCAAAAAAATCAAAACGTACCTAGGGATGATCCCGAGCGAAGCTACCCGTAACCCGTGAGTGGCTAGTTCCAGTAATAATATAAACTGTGGTTCCATACCAATGAGCTCCTCGGGCGTGGGCTTGGGCGGGTCCTGGCGGTCGAACTCGCGGCTGTGGTAGGAGAGGCCGTGCCGCTGCAGCTGCAGGTGCAGGCCCGCCAGGAAGCGCGACAGCGGCCGGTGCACCGACACCGGCTCCTTTGACACGTCGTACGGGATCACCGACGCGCTCTGGTTGCCTAGCTCTGGAATGTCACATTAGTGGTTAAGTTTTAATTTATGACGACACGTTTGGCATAGTTTGTAGTGACCCTACTTGCTGTGCCAATATAACTATTAATATTTAAATAATAACGATGAAAATATAAACAGTCATAAAACAAAAATGAAATAGCAAGTGCCTGATATCTAGATAATATTTACGACTAGCGTGGCCCGCGGCTTCGCCCGCGTTCAGATGACCAAAAACAAAATTCTTAGGTTTTACATATTAATATACTCTTACCTTGCAGTTTTTGTATTTTTTCTCAGAAATGAGACATTTTCCCGCAGTAAAAAGTATCCTATATGTTCACTCGGATAACCAGCTATCGCCATATCAAATTTCATCAAAATACCTCCAGTGGTTTTTTCCGTGATGTGATAACAGACAGACAAACAGACAAAAATTCTAAAAACTATAGATTCGGCCTCTGTAAAGATAATTATGTCTATTTCAATAAGATTTTCCAAAAAATATTTAATGTACAGATTCGGCTTAGTTACGATTTTATTATATGTATAGATTTAATATGCATAAAACTGCATCTAATTTTTAGAGTTCTAATCTTTTCAAATCTACCTCTGTTATTTCCAAACCCGACACTATTCTGTATTCACAATATTTTACTGAGTATCATTAATGTCTACAACACATTTGTTACCATGACACATGTTTCGAACATCGGCTATAGTGTGTGAATAGTTTGTATGCGCATGCGTGTGTACGTGTGTGTTTGTGCGTGCACGCACCCCTGAGCTCGTGCGGGCGGCGCGCGCAGGTGTCGGCGTGGCGGCGCAGCGCCATGCGGTAGGCGGCGGCGGCGAGCGCGCGCTCCGCGCTGCACCACTCCAGCGCCAGCGTGATGCTGTGCGCCAGCTTCACGTGTAGGTTGAACGCCGACTCCCACTCCGGCTCGTACTCCATGTGCTGACCCACCTGGGGAAACCGACCGGCATACACTTATACTGTTTTACAATATACTCCTATGGTGCGGAATAGGTAAAAAGAAGCACCTCATAGGGGAATCGAACCCGCGAGCTCCAGTAAACAGTGCAATATAGACATATACAATTTAACTACGACCAATGTAGTATATTGTTGAGAAACATAGATGTTCCTTGAATTATAAAAATACACTTAACACATTTAAAATTGAGAATAAATTATATTAATTTTGACTTCATAAAAATTTGGTTGACAATATTCATGCACCTATTAGCACTAAGAGTAAAGAATTTTCAATAATATTATGATAAACTAGCATTGCCCGCGGCTCCGCCCGCGTTCAGATGACCAAAAACCAAATAGCGCTATTGTTTTTTTTTTCAAGATAAGCTATTTTTAATAGTTCTTGCCTTTATCAGCCAGTTACCTTCCTAAAATATATATAGTATCATTGTGATTTTATTCTAACCAGTTTTTGTATTTTTTTTCAGAAATGAGATATTTTCCCGCGGTAAAAAGTATCCTATATGTTGACCCGGATAACCAGTTATGACCATACCATATTTCATCAAAATCCCTCCAGAGTTTTTCTGTGATGCGGTAACAGACAGACAGACAGACAAAAATTCTAAAAACTATAGATTCGGCCTCTGTATCGATAATAATGTTTATTTCAATAAAATTTTCCAAAAAATATTTAATGTACAGATTCGGCTTAGTTACAATTTTATTATATGTATAGATAGAAAAATATCATCAATATATCAAATAAAGTATCAATAAAGTATATCAGATTGATAATATTAAATAGCAAAACACTTACTTGTCTAACAACAGAGTCCATGCCCTGCATCATGACCAGGAGGTTCAGCATGAGAGACAGTCCGTGCAGGAAGCCCTTCCTCAGATCATCATCAAAGGTAGTCGGTACAGACCCGAGCAGGTACTTCACGTCGTACAATATGAATTGTGCACGTTTGAATCCCGATGATACGTGGTTACGATCAAACTCGAGACGACCCTGAAAATTGTAAAACATGTTACATTATACTTTCTTAGATTTACGTGAATACTGGACATTTTAAATAAAACTATCTTTTTGGTTCTTTTTTGCGAATTTATTTTGACTAACTTACTCTCTCCCGTGACCATGATTGCTTTAAAGCATTCGAAACGTCGGGAACCAAAAATCAAAATAAATTCGCGAAACAATCCGAAAAGATAGTTTTATTTAAAATGTTACATTATTTATTTCTTTTTATGGTCAATTGTTGTCGATAAACATATGAAATTAAAGGTAAAAGAATATTTTAGTACTATAGGATATTTAATTAAGATGACCGTGGTGTATGAACTCGATAAATAACAAGTATCATTCAGATTTCGTTATGCTTGACAAACCTGAATTTGTATGTTTTTTGTTTTTTTTTTATTTGAGTTTACAAGTACACAATTATGTACACTAAAATAAAAGTTATTGCAAAAATAAATATGTCTCTCTTGTAATATTAGGAAACCTTCTTAAACCACCTTTGTTCGTTGTAAACTTTAATAAATTATGAAAAAAAAACTGTTTCCAAGAATATTTTCAGCACATAACTAACAATTGCTTAAGGCTGTCTATCATAAAACTGGCATGCTATAAAAATTAATAAACCATCGACATCGATATTATGAATTATAAAATATCGATATTTTATGATCGATACTTAATTAATATAGCCGATGGTCACCTCAGCATTACACCGTCGGTTGCATTCACTGACGAAGGTGTTCATGACGAGGAAGAACGCGTCGTGCTTGGCGATGAGGTAGTGCGCGAGCGTGGGCGTGGTGTACAGCTGCACCGACAGCGACGACACCGAGAACGAGTGGTCGTGGTCGTCGCGGATGAAGTCCTTCAGAATAGAACCTGTGATGGAGTAGGAAAGGAAATAATATTATTCATACAGTCATTGCTTTAACGATATTTAATTCTGATGTTTTTGGGTACTATTATCATATTGTTGAAGTAAATTTTAAGGTCACAGCTACCGATCTAAGTTGTAGTGTTGGAGATATTATAGAGATGCATTCCTTATTTCTCTGTTCCGATAAAATGATAGGACAGCAATTCGGAGCAACCGAAGAAATCAGCTATAGGGTCATCAGACAAACAGCCTTGATTTGAGATACAAAATATTTTTTTAGATTTTTCCTATTTGAGTTTTTATAAAAAAAAACAATAAATTTGCGAAAAACCTGGTCCTGTTACATGTTTTTTTTTTCAGGACATTAACACAACACCATCTAGTTCCATGGTAAGCTACAAGACTTGTGTTATGTGTACCAGATAGTTGATACATTATACATATATAATATATTATATAACTTTAAATATATACATATTATAAATATACACACCCATGTCTGGAGTACAAACATTAGTGCTCATCACACAAATGAATACCCCCACCGGGACTCGAACCCGCGACCGCTGGCGCAGCAAGTAGGGTTACTACAAACTGAGCCAAACGTGTCGTCAATCTCACTTCGTCATTGAAATTATATCTTAGAATTACCTCAGGTTTTAAATGAAATTTACCTCACTATTAATTATGAAATTGCATATTCTTACATTAAATAGGCACAAAGACAGTATAGCTGTCGCTAGGCTCAGATGCGTCAGTAGTTGCCTAACGGCCTATATTTTTTATCCCAAATCTTATTTTATTTACGTTCATCCAGTCGTTTCATGGTAAAGGATTAACATTATATACATACAAAATTTCGAATGTATATCAGTCATTACCGTCGACACCATCGATTAAAAAAGTACTAGATAAACAATCAGCGACAAAAAATATCCTCACCGAATGAGCGATCATTTGAATATTTGAGCGCGCTTTTAAATTTTTTTCTTGTGAAAACAACTTTAGGCATTGCATTTAAGGTTCAATTTATATTATTGTTAATTATTTCAATTATTATAATTACCTAAACACAATTGGTGACAGTTTTAAAAAAAAATTGTATGGGATTGTATATCTAGCTAGTGCTTTTATGATCGATGGTCTCTACACACTCTATAGACTGAGAGAGCACTCACCATAGTTCTTAGTGAAGAGTATAGCCATGGCGCGCTTGGTGGCGTAGTCCATGAGCGTGGTGGCGATGAGCAGGCGGTGCCAGGCGGTGCGCGCCGCCTTCCACATGCGGCAGTCGTTCTGCAGCACGCGCGCCGCCACGCCGCCCGCGCCCGCCGCGCCCGCCGCACCCGCCGTCTCCGCCAGCGCCACCTGGCTCACCGCCAGCCGCAGCGACTGCTCGTGCGACACGAAGTTCTGCAGCCTGGATATACACATACACATTCATATTTTTAACATACATAGATATGAAGATTTTATTCATTAGTTTATATTCTACTAGCGTCTACTTCGTCCCTAGCGGTCTTTTTATCGGCTTCTGGTTTTTTTTTTTTTTTTAATTTATTAAGAACACCAACAACATAACACACAAAATATACATTTTAAATTCATTCCTAATACATAAGTTCTAGTATGTTAGTCTCTTACAGGTGTCCATAGCACTGACCAACAAATTACATACATGCACTGCTAATATAAAAAGAAGATAAAGTGACTACAAAATAAGGGCAAAAACTTGAAAAACATTAAAATTTATAAATAGGGTTTAAGTTATCTTAACTAATTTTATGTATATAAAAAAAAATAAAAACTGTGATATATGTAAAAAATATTTAAATTACTTACTCCTAAAATGTAAACACAAAATGTCTTAAGAACTTTGCTAAAAATAATAGTGGTAGGGACAGATAATTAACTACATACAATAAAATAATGCCGCTTAACTTAGAATGATTTACAATTCTCCGCGGATTTTTTCGACCAAGGTATTCTTTAGTTTGAGCAAATTGTTATGAAATAGATCAACGTCACACCCGAAAGACAGAGTACTCAGTTCATTATATGCTTTAAGCATTCGAGGAAGAGGAGAGTTCGAGCAAGATACCGTCCTAGAAACTGGCATATCGAACGGACCTTTGTTTATTGCGCGCGACCCAGGTCGCGGAATCCTGAAATAAATATTCTCTAATATTAGTGGACAATCCAACATTCCATTTAGTATCTTAAATAATGTGCAAATATCAATTATACGTCTCCTATTAAATAAAGTGTCAATTTTAAAAGTCGTCAACCTATCCTGATAATCGCTTCTCTTACTTATATCGCTATTATACACAAGATACTTGGTAAAGGAACGCTGTATTCGTTCGATTCTTTCGGAATGATATGCTTGGTAGGGATTCCAAATGACGCTTGCATATTCCAATATGCTTCTTACTAAGGCATTAAAGATAACTATCCTAGTCTTTGGAGAACGCAAGTCTTTACATGTTCGCCTCAAAAAACCAAAAGATTTTAATGCTTTCTCTATCATATGATCATAATGTCTCGTAAAACTCAACTTGTTGTCAATAATAACTCCCAGGTCTCTGACAAATGGGGTTTCTCTAATACACACTCCGTTAATGTGGTACGAAGCATCAAATTTTTTTTTTCTTTTTGTGATTTTTAGAAAGCAACATTTGGAAGCATTTATTATCATACCGTTACGAGTACACCATTCTTGCACACGGTCTAGGTCTTCTTGGAGCATAACTATATCAACAGAACTTTTAATAGGCATAAAAATTTTCATATCGTCCGCGAATAAGAGACAGTTGCTATTTATAACACATTCTACGATATCATTAATAAATAAAATAAATAAAATCGGTCCCAAGTGAGAGCCTTGAGGCACACCCGATACTGCTTTGTACCAACGTGACTCATATCCCTTGACCACTACATATTGAACTCTCCCCTTTAAATAAGAACTAAACCATGATAAGATATGCCCACTTATGCCATAAAAATATTGTAATTTAACGAGAAGAATTTTATGATTTACCCTGTCGAATGCATTACTAAAGTCCGTATACACAGAATGGACCTCAATCCCCTCATCAAGAGAACTATTCAAGCTGGTAACGTAATTTAACATATTGCTGATTACAGATTTTTTACTTTGAAAACCATGTTGTCTATCTGAAACTAGATTCTTTGTGTGTTCTACCAAAATGGGACAGACTAAAGATTCAAATACTTTCCCAAAGATTGACAACATTGATATTGGTCTGTAATTAGCAACATTTGCAACATCTTCCTTCTTGTAAACTGGAACCACCCTCGCTTTTTTCCATTCGGTTGGAAAAGTTCCCGTTTCGAGAGATCGATTAAAAATCAATTTCAATGGTAGAGCAAGAACCTTCGTACACCTTTTTACAAATACACCTGGAATTCCATCTGGACCACAAGCTTTATATATATCTAGTTTTTTTAATTTATTTAATATAATTTTTTCATCAAAATTTATCCTGGATAGAGTGTCACAAAGCGGTGAAGGAGTTGTAAATACACGAACTATACTATCGTTTGAAGTATTAAACGTAGACTCAAATTGTTCAGCAAATAAATTTGCAATATCAATGTTACTTGATGCTGATTCGCTATTACGATAGACTAGACTAGGTATAGAAGTATTCTGTTTCTTTTCTTTAAGAAACCTCCAGAAAGCCCTAGAATTACGCTGAATGTTCTCCTCAGTAAGAACACAGTGCTCGCGATAACAATCATTAAGTTCAACTCTACATCGCGTACGAAGTATTTCAAACTCATATTTATCACGGGGGTTTTTATAGGTACGATATCTTGCACGAATTTTATTTTTTTCATCTAAGAGCTTGCGAGTGCGACGCTTAAACCATGCGGGGAGGGAAGAAGGCCTACATTGATACTTGGGTACATAGGAATCAAATATACTAGACAATTTGTCGTAAAATATACATATCATTTCATCTACCTCTATCATGTTACCCAATAACTTACACCAGTCAGTGGCTTCCATTGAAGCAATAATTTTTGAGTAATCTGCTTTAAAAAAGTTGTAGTCCGAGCGAGGTTTATTTTGCTCACTCTCAGTAAATTCATATTAATGCTTATTTCTAAAGGGGGATGTAATTTGTCAAGTTTACTTATAAACTCAAGAGGTTCAGTTACTGAAATATTATGTATAGTACTTAAAACTAAATCTCTAATCTTACCATCAACTCCTTTCACTGTGTTAAATTGATACAACTCATTAAAAGATAAGAAATCAGTTAAAGCATAACCTAAGTTGCAGTTATAATTTCCAGGATATGCATATGAGGCGTCTTCTTTATTTTCCCAGGTAATAAAGCTGAGATTGAAATCACCCACTATCAATACTTCATCTACACTTGGCACAATAGTATTAATATTATCCAAAGTTTCAGTAAGATCATTCATTTTCAGTCTTAGTTCTCATTCCACGAATATTCTGATAATACAGATTGAATTCTAAATCGGTCATGTTATTAATCACTTTAGCTGATGATTTCTCATCCTTTCTAACATAGATTTTACCGTTGCGGACCCATACAAAATTATATGAAATTTCCTTAGCTTTTTTTCTGGTTGCGGCATGTAGCATTTTATTTGGAGGTGACAGATGTTCCGACAAATAGATGGGCGCTCTATCGCCACCAATTCCAATTGCCTGGGTTGAGAGTTTGTCCAATCGATTTTCTCTGTTGTACTTATAATATGCCGTTAAAAAAGCATCGCGATTTCTAGGACTTCGGAATTTAACGATAGCCGCTCGGGGGCGCTTATTATTATTGTCTTTCTTGGCAACTCGAAAACAAGACATAACATCTGTATCATTGATGGTGTGAGAAACAGTTTTACCAATCTGTAAAACAGTTTGGACCAAGTATTTGTTTCCGTGCAACTGCTGGGCGAAGTTTGCGATAGGTTTTTTCAAACTAGGTCTTAAAGATTAACATTTAACGATTTTTTTCTCTGTTTCATTTCGGTTTTTCAAAGCAATTATGAAAAAAAACGTGTATAATCAAAAGTAAAAAGTAAAAACGCGAAAAAAAAATCCATTAGGATTATACAATATACATATATATAATGATACATACCAGTTGAGCAGCTTCATGGCGAAGGTCTGGTGCGCGACGACGTGCGCGTGCATCACCAGCACCTTCAGCGCGGGCCCGTGCCGCGACGTGAACCTGTCGAACATGGCGAGCCGCCTGAGTCACGTCACCCCCGTCCCCGCACCCATACATACCGGGGCTCGGAACCGATTTTAGAAAACTAAATGAAAATGGTTAATTCATCGCTCTTTCTTTAACCGGTTAATGAAAACAAACGGTTTAACGGAAAGTTTGGATTTCGATTTTGATAACGAAATAAATCGATTAATTCATTCGTAAGTAAGAAACGTACACCTACTAAGCAGTTCACAATTAGCAAAGATTCGCCAAATGTAAAACTTATATTAACCAGTTAATTTTAACCATGGAACCTAAATTAGCCAAAAACCGTTCACCGGGATTTAAAGTTTCGGCTTGGGATCAATAACCAAAACCGGTTTAAAAATTGACAAGTTTCCGAGCCCTGATACATATACTTAATATTATCTACCTACATAACATCAGTGGCGACGGAACAACTTTTACTAAAAAATAAGTGTTGCAAAAAAAAATTCTAAAGGGTATGGACACAAAGTCTGTATATACTATATGTATACTCATTAGAATGGAATTACTGTAAAACACAAGTAAGCCAGTCTGTCGGTCTAAATATTCATTTAATATTACGTATACCAAATAAGTTACTAGCTCATTTGTCATGTTTATAGTCATGAGTAAACATGGAAAAAAAGTATTTTCTAAATCCATCCATCCGTAAACAATCGTAGATTACTCGATTTCCATAAGGTAAGCCGATGAGAATCGGGTTATATTTAGCCATCGCCATTGTTCCCTATGCACATTAATCACATAACTAAGTATCCCTACAATGACAAAGCTTCATACAACTGCGCAACGATTGGTATAAATAAATATATATGAATAAATAAATATATATGTATGTGTGTTCAAGTACATGCTATATAAGGGTTGTCCCAAAAAATTTCCCATAATATTTTCCCAATTCCAGGTAAAACCTAACAAGATGAGCGCAAAGCGTATACAAACAAGACGTGTGCAACAATTACATCTCAATATCAGTCTTGAGCTTGTCGCAGAGCTGGAAGGAGTTGCACTTGACGAGCGCGCGGCCCTCACGGTCGATGAGGCTCACCAGCTCCACCGAGTCGCGGTGGCTGCACTTCATCACGCGGTTGAGGGTTGTTATCACCTGCAGGACAGGATTCAATACTTAATAACATTTAATACTTTCTAAGATTTACGCGAATATAGAGAAGTTGCATTTTTTTTTAATATACAAATGAAAGAATAATCCATTTAAAATATATTTAAATATTTTTTTTGTTATGACGAATTCCATTTTTTTTATAATTATTAATAAAAAATGATAAGTTTTTAAACAAAATAAAACGACTTGTGATTGGTTGTGACGTCGTTATATCCATTGAGTCTGTAAGCCAATCGCAATCATACTAAACTTTTGTATTTTCTACATTCGGATCACCACGTGTCATGACATTTTTTTTTACATCAATTAAATAATTTCAAAACAAATATAGCCTGTGTTATGCAATGACAACTTTTTTGATTTTAACGACGTTAACATGTGTTTTATCATTTCGTCATGCGGTGGTATTACTGAAGCGATATAATGACGTCACTGGCGTTTGAAATTACATTTTAAAAAACACTTAACTGTAAAGTTACATGAAATCAAATGTAATTTTTTTTAATCTCTCTTAACAATTTTCAGTTAAATCTTTAAAATAAAAATAATTAAAAAACATGGAACTTCTCTGTTTGACATTTTAAATAAAACTATCTTTTCGGATTATTTCGCGGATTTATTTTTGTATTTGGTTTCCGAAGTTTGGAATGCTAAAAAATAACAGCTAAAATTAAATAAATAATATTGCTATATTTAATTATAATATGTACTTACTTTGTTAAATTTTTTTTCAGAATTAAAATCAATAAATATTATAAGGTACTTTGGTGCCATTATCATTTGGTAATCATTTTTGTAAAATTTTGTAAAAACGTCAAAACAAAATTTCTTCTGTAATCAAAATTTATTTTAAAATATAACCGAAAATAACATTAAAAATTTAAGTAATAGTATAAGAAATGTTTTAAAAGACAAAAAAAATCGAAAGTGCATATTATAAGACTTCCGCGATACCATTCAGACAAAGACAATAGCATTCCCAAGGATTGATGTCAGACAAAAAGTATAATATTGAAGATATTAGGGTGATTATTAATCTTTAAATATTTATAAAAAATTTTTTTTATTTTTACAATGAAAATGTAATGTTTTAATTAAACTATATAAATAAGAAATATTAATGGTAGGCGGTCGGTCGTAAACCTTTTGCCAAATCCTATCATCGGTACGGAAGATGTACTGCGCCGACCCCAAGTGATTGGGAAATGGGCAGGGAGAAGAAGAATCATTTTTGTAAAATTGTATGTAGGCACTGTCTGTAACATGTATGTATGTAACGCCTTAGACACGTCTGAAACCTTAGTCTCTCCCGTGACCATGATTAATTTTTGATCAAAAATCAAAATAAAACAGTGAAATAATCCGAAAAGATAGTTTTATTTAAAACTAACTAACATTCATTAATGCAACAGCATCCTTCTTCCAAGAAGCTTTCAACATGGCTTTTTGAGTGAACATATTTTTTTGAACTACTAACTGACACTGATTGCCTTCATTATTCTACCTTCCTCTAGTATTGCCAGTGAAATATTAATTTGTTCAACTGGCGATTAACTTAGGGCGGGTATCATTACGGACAAAGTCATTTATCCCACCTAACAACCCAGCACCTACCATCTGTACCTCGCTCTGCTCCCGTGAACTTCTTTACCAAAGTCGTGTTATGCGATTTATCTATAAGCCCCCTTAATTTGTACAAAATACATAGTATCATTTGCGTAAAAAATATTATAGTTCACGCAAATCACAGCGATAGAGAGTCTCATCAGGGACTCTCTATCCCACAGCCTCCTATGTTGGGAGACATAATAATTCGAAATGACTATAATTAAAGTATTTTATCGTATACTGTAATTTATAAGAAATATTACCTGTTCAAACGTATGTGTTTCATCATTGTATAAAACAGTGCAGTAGCAGTCTGGCTGGTCCAATATTTGTAATAGTCCTCTTTCAGCATCTTTTAGTCTAAAAAAAAGTGATAAAAAATAATTTTAATGTAGCATGAATTTTTTTTTTTAAAGAAATTACTAAAAATTGTAAATTACACCACTACTAAGTTCCTAACTCCAAGGTGTTACTGAGAAATAGAATTTTAGAATTTCTTAACAAAAAACCTCAATAACTAAACTTGGCCCAACTTGGGACTCGAACCCAAGATTTCCAAATCCAATTAAAAAAACCAACGAGGCAGTTAATGACTACAGAATAATATTATAAAGTTGAATTTATGTTCACTCGAATTAATCTCAGACACTTCTGTGTACATTTTCATACATTTTCTCAAATAGAAAGAGAAACGATATAGAAACGTTCTATGCTATAATTTACAAATAATTTGTAAATTTAAATTAATATGGAAAAAATTAAGAATTGTCTCTTCTAGGGGCGCAAGCCACTAGTAAGCCACTAGTATATTTATACCAATATTATAAAGAAGCAGAGCTGTTTGTTTGTTTCTTTGTTTGTTTGTTTGAACGAGCTAATCTCAGGAACTACTAATCCGATTTGAAAATTTCTTTTAAAGCAGTTTAGCATTTTGCATTAAATAGCCCGTTTATTGACGACGGCTATAAGTTATATATCATCCCGAAAAAATAAACGGTACGTACATCAGCTCATGTGGCAGGCCGGGCGCGTGGTCGTGCGTGAGCAGCTGGAAGCAGTGCGAGAGGCACACCGACGCCACGATCTTCATGCGCTCCAGCACCTCCGGGCTGATGCTCGCCTGGGCTTGCTCTTCGTTGTCTGGCGCCTGGGGAACATGTCGGGAATAGTGTTCATGGGTAGTTTTAGTTAGCACGAATAAAGTTGGACGAAATCGCCGTTCACAGTTAGTGTATAACATAAATGTGATAATATAATAAAAAGAGAACACAATAATGCTATGGAAAATAAGAATTTGAGTATCAAAACTGTACACCGTAAATATGGTTAATGTCTCTTTAGTCACATGATCTCAGTAGTTTTATGATATTGAGAGACAACAGACAACAGAGATTGAACCATCGCGAGGAGATCTGCATATCTAAGAGAATCTAGCAAGTTTGCGAAAGATATGCTCAATCCGCCCCGCATATATCGACGGGAAGCCCATGCTCATCAATGGGACGTTAAAAAGGGCTACTAACACATTCAACTAGCATCACAAACTCACCGCATGCAATTCACAGAAGGGGTCTTTCTTCCACGCCTCCGTGTCCCCGCAATCGCAGCAGCCGCCGCCGCCCGACTGGCCCATCTTGTACTTGTGGTGCCTGTGCGCTGACACCTTGAAGCATTCCACGCAGAGCACGCACGTGTTGTCCATACCTGGTCATAGAATATAGCTTCTTTAAACACGTTTTCGTTTGATTAATTTCACTAATCACTTGTAACTAACCGGCTAACTATGTATTGAGATTTTTAAAATGTATAGTCACCTTCGTAAGAAGAAGAAAAAGTAGAAGTAGTAGAAGCTTGGCAAATGTTAAGTATATAAAATTCGGATGATAATAGTGTATGTAGTCAAATAAATCTTTGTGTAAAATTATAATTAACCCTTTAAAACAGTGAAAATATTTGTTTTATATCCACCATAAAAAATCCTTATTTCCATCCCAAGAACCTTAACCAAACTATCGCCTGTAAATTAACTTTACATGACAACAATCCTTCAACAAACTTGTTTATTGGCAAAAGACCAATCGCAAATTATACCAAGGAAAAAAAATAAAAAAAATAAACTTTAAACTTACCGCACTCCCTACAACTGTAGGCCGGCTCGCCCTGCTTGAACACTTTCCCACATAACGTAGAACGCCGTGGACGAGGGGGTTGGGAACTCTCCGAGCCCCACACAAACTGTTCCAGCGGTTGAATCAAGAGTTTTGCTCCTAATTCTTCATCGAATGACCAATCTGAAAAGTCAAATATAAGAGTGAAACTCTAAGTGATTTAAATAATTAAATAAAATTATCGTTAATCGTTTAGTGACAATATACTTTCTAGGTCACCTACATATTAAGTCGCAATTTCAAGAAAAACTGAGAGAGAGAGAGAGACTGAGGTGTTAGATGTCTCAAAGGTATAATATAGTTGTTACAGACAGCCTACCCACAAATAACAAAATGAATTCAAAAAATTGAAAAAAAAACAAAATAGTTGTTTTAAATTAAATATAATGTTCTAATGAGCCATTGAATACAAGCTGTGCTTTTTTCTGAAAATTGCTATCGACATGAAATTATGAATGAAAAAATATCTTTATACAGAAATAAATCTGTTATACAATACAATAATTAAAATTAGATCAATATTAACATGAATTTCACCGAGTTAGCCATATCGTATACAGAAGTTGTTCATTAAAAACATTGTCGAACAGAAGTCATGTTTACTACACAACGATTGTTATTGATATTGTATGAAAAATGAAAATATTAAATTCTTCTCCAATCAATTGAAATTTCAAACATACCTAAACAAGTCCTATTGGGCTGTGGCGAATATATCCTCGGAACTATAACACGCCAATGATCTTGAAAGTGAGCGTAAGATAGCACTCCTTCTGCCATCTTCGTCCTCCATAATTCCACGACAGCATCAGCTCGCGCTGGTAACGTGAATCTGTCGATATCACCCATTGTTAGATTTAGGTGAGTAATTATCTTCACAATAAATTTTAAATAATTTAGTAAAGTTTATCGTTGGGTATTTCCAAAAGCCTATAATTTCAACAAAAATTTGTAATACATTATTCACATTAATCACAGTTCAAAGGTCCAGAAGTAGTTTGTTAATAAAAACATTATGAAATTCTTTCGATTTGACACTGTATCTTTAAAATCGTTGACCTTATACAAATAAGTTTGGCGTGGCATACAAAGAAAAAAATGCAAATGAAAAAAATATAAGTAAAAATAAGCAAAGGCGATTATTCCGGAGCGCGGTAAACAATAAACTGATCGTACAAGTTGGCAAGACGCCACCCTACGAGATCTTTAATCTAATTATAAAAAACACGACCAAATTATATGAGATATTGTTGATAAGACGTCATATATCGAGCGATTGAATCACATAACACTTGTTTCGTTTTGCAATTAATATATTGATGAGAGGGCAGGCGGTGAAATAATTATCTTTCGAATATTAATCAGATGACTCTCCCTCATCAGGGCTTAGGATTCTTAAAATATGTATGCACCTTCATTTTACTTGTACAGATCATCATCTCCTTGCACATTTCCCAATTACTTGGGGTCGGCGCAGTACATCTTCCGTATTGCTGATAGGATTTGGCAAAAATTTTACGACCGTCCGCCTGTCTGACATCAACTCTCCTTGGCAATACTTTACATAATTTACATAAGTTTACTTGTACAAATATGTCCTTTAAAAAAACCAATTAAATCATCTTCAGCAGTGATATTTAGTCGCTTGATTGAAATAGTTATAATTAAACTATTTTCAAACAAGTTTATTTTTTTTTAAACATAAGCATGTATTGTATTGTGGTAGAAATTGGCGTCTAGACTACACTATTTCCCATTTTGATTTACAATTCATAAACGCCACATATCTACAATTTGTTTACAACACATTTTGAGTGAATTGCTTCCATTGACCCGACATTCAAAACAAAGTCGCTTTATAACGAAAGTTCATTGTATGGAATATGGATTAATATTTTTAATTTTGGGTCCAGTATTTCTTTAATTTTTAGATATGCCATGAAAACGTATATAGACTTTAAAATCTATTTAAATGTAATTATTATTATTATGTATTATACTAAATACTTATTACTTTTTCATTCATTTTAACTTTTAGGCAACCACTCTCAAAGTGTAACCTAATATTACTTAGCATACATATCGCGTAATATAAAAACAAAAAACACACCAGATTTTTTCAATTCTGATGTGTTTTTTTTTGTCTTTTTATTCTCCTTTTTTTTTAACTTATTTTCACTAAACAACTAGCGACAAGTAAGGTATCTATAATATATTTGTATAATACACCTATGTAATTTATTATATAGATTTTTTTTATTTTTAAAACAAAGTCGGGTTAGTTACACCATTTATAATTCAAGAACGGCTGTACCGATTTCTGTGATGTTCGATTTGTTAGATTTGTCTCAGCCCCAAAAAGCAGATATTAAAACATCAGAAAAATTCACGAAAAAAAATGTACATTGCTAACGCTGGCTAATAACTATTTATATCTATTTAAACGTACCTAGGGACGAACCCGAGCAAAGCAAGGTTGAACCGCTAGTAAGATGTAAAATATGGGCAATGAAGAACAAATTTTATTTCTATTTCAATCGTACGGTCAATGACACGTGGACGTTCAATATGTGTACTATTTTCAATTTTATCACTCAAAGATAAGATTGAAATTGAAAGCAAAATTCATCTACTTTACAGAAGGATGCTTATGTTACAAAGATAGTACACAGATTGTAAAAAAAATACCAATCAACTAAAAATAACAAGAATTAAAAGACATTAGCGATTTTAGGTACTGATGCTGTGACCTTACGTTAAAGACAACCTTCCCAAATCTCATATAGTACATTATAGTAAAAGTCGAACTCAAAATAGGGTGTTACATCTTATGCATACGTCAAGTTTGACTACTCATATTGGTATTTATACTTTTACACTATAAATAAATGGAACAGACTTAGATATTCTTGGTACATCCTACTACCATTTCACTTGGATTAATGTATTAGTGACGCGTAAGATACAGGTTCTAAAGCTTTTTTTTCTTCAATTTGAAAAAGTTCTTAATATAAATATGTATTACTTGTTTAGCACTAGGTTCAAAAGTGATGATTTCGTTAAACTTTTAAGTCAAGAGCATATAAAAACGATTTTGATGGGGAAAATATGTATAATGTATATATGGGGGCACAATAGTAACCACGCCAAGTTGAGCAAAAAGGGCACAGCAGTAGCATCCTTTAAACCATTGAGGACATTTTCGACACCCTTGTAACGTCGTTGTAGATAAAGCTAGAAGCCTGAATTTTCAATTTGTCAGAGGACATAATATAACAAGGTATATTCCCAAATAACATTTAATTTAAACCTACAGTTAAAGAACTATACTTGGCATTTGATTTATTAAAGAAATAAAGATATCTAATATTGATACGGTCTCTATAAAATATTGTTATTTAACGAATTTGGTAAAAATTTATGACAAAGTTGTTGAATAGAAGCTTCCATATATGTTACCTACTGAATGAATTAACCGACTTAGTTTTCCATTAGATCTCAAAACTTTGCGGTAGAAAGAACTGCGTTGCGAGATTTGAACGTTGCAATTTCATTTTCAATCTTACAAAAATGCAGTCTCATGACTACAACCATGAGGCATTTGAAATGAAAACGTAACCTAGAAACAAAACTGGGAACACTGAAACAAACTCCCAACTTCCATTCTCAACGTAAACTTGACCTTAGCACAATGACTTAGAGTGCACTTTTATTTGACAATGACATCGGAAACTGGCATTATACCAAAACACGTGAAAATTCCTACCTGCACTCTGAGACGGTGAACCGTTTATACGAGACTTTTGACATCAAAACGTCTAAAAGGTTGGATATTATTATGACGACCTTCATTTTTGTAGTTTAATGCAAATGATCTCAAGCTTCATCTAAAATCAAATAAAATTTATCGCGTCCTCTCCTATAAAATCGGTAATTGTATGTTTTCTCATTTATTATTTATTATAAAATTTTAAGAAAATATTTCTGTTAGTTAAAAGCAAAGCTAATCTTTTTATGGATAGACTAAACCTCACTCGTGAGTATATCTAAATTTAAATAAGAAAGGCCGTTGACGACCATCCCTTTCGAAATATTAAAAAAAAATCAAAGTTTGATGTACTTGCTCCTAGGATACTGTGTAAATGTAAGAAAGCGTTCTTGCTCAAAGTTGGTTAAGAATGGTAGTGAGAGATTATATTGTACTTTAACAGAACAAACAAGCTAATTCACTTGTACGAGTGCCCCTTTACATTATACGAGTGTAACAGACGCACTCGAGGATTTTATTTTTGCACTAGCATTTCCCGCGGCTCCGCCCGCGTACAGACGACCATAAACTCTGTCGGTTAAAATGTTTCATCGTGGTTTTTTTCTAACCACTTTTTGCATTTTTTCTCAGAGATGAGATATTTTTCAGCAGTAAAAAGTATCGTATATGTTTATTCGGATAACCAGCTGTCATCATGCCAAATCATCGAATTGTGTTAGAATTTTATTATATGTATAGATTATTATTAGATTTACATATTATATACACCTACCTAATAAAATCCGTTATATGAATAATCACCACTTAAAATACTTGGCGATAGATATTACCTACAACACTCTAGACTTAGAGAGGTCAGATTTCGCTTTGTTATAACTTATACTACTCCAATTCATTGACGCACAAGTTTAAAAGCGTTTCAAATATGACACAAATATTACTAGGTTGCCCATCACAATATACTTATTATGTACATTATTCAGGTACAACTACTTTAGCAAGACTTGCGAGTTTCGAGAGAAGAGTTGTTTGTTGAGTTCTTAGTGTTGTTTAACTTTACTAAGGCATTTTTACAGTACCCCGCATTTCATTTAATAACTAATTATGTTATAACCTGATTTTATAGGAAGTTCCTCAAATAATATTTTCTTAGCAAGATATTCAATGAAACAGACAGAAATAGCCAATTATTTCATACTATTTAGAGACCTAAAGAGAAGAGACCTAACTGACACTTCGCACGTGATCTATTTGATCTATTCGTTTATACTATATGCGATAAACTCAACTCATATTATAAATCACGCGATAATCATGCTCGGTATTAGTATGCCACAATATTTTCATATTATAAAATGTCGCGGTTACAAATTTAATTTTGTATTGTTATGAAACTATCTACTTTCACTTTAGCTATACATAATATAATAAAATTGTAACTAAGCCGAATAACATTAGATATTTTTTGGAAAATCTTATTAAAATAAACATTATTATCGATACAGAGGCCGAATCTATACTTTTTAGAATTTTTGTCTGTCTGTCTGTGACCGCATCACAGTAAAATCAATGGAGGGATTTTGATGAAATTTTGTATGCTGATAACTGGTCATTCGGGTCAACATATAGGATACTTTTTACCGTGGCAAAATATCTCATTTCTGAGAAAAAATACAAAAACTGCAATGTATAGGTACTATGCAATGTATAATATGAAAAACCAAAGAATTTGTTTTTTGGTCATCTGAACGCGGGCGGAGCCGCGGGCAATGCTAGTCCCATATAAAGTTTTGATACCAGATTGACATTGTGGTTAGAGTATTATACATCACACTGCAGTAAGTCTCGGGGTGAATACCCTTAATACTTTCTTAGATTTACTCGAATATTCGATACTTTAAATCAATCTTCTGTTTCTTTTTGCTACATTCGTGTCGAGTACTTTACAGTAACCATGGTCACGTCATAGATTCTCGAGTAGATAAAAGAAATCCACGAAGAAATCTGGAAATATAGTTATATTTTAAATTCCTATATTTTTGTAAACCAAGGATAATGTTCTT